AAGCTGCTATAACAAAACTATCTCAAAGTACAGGATCAAATGGTGTGAGTTTCTTTTTTTCTTAAATGATGGTCCAGATTATGGTCCACTGAATAAGTCCAGGGCTTGGCTGTTGGTTCTGCTATCTTTAACATGAGCTGGGTACTTCCGTGCTTTCATCCTCGGGTCCTCCTACATGGCTGCTCTGGCTAATAGTTAAAGGGAAAAGGCCAGGGAAGCAGACCTGCGTTTCTAGAAACACAACCTGGAAGTGGGAGCAAACAAAAAATGAGCAAAAAGCTCACATCTTTTTTTTTAAATTTTTTAAAGATTTCATTTATTATTTGACACAGAGAGAGCACAAACAGGCAGAGAGGCAGGCAGAGGGAGAGGGATAAGCAGGCTCTCCACTGAGCAGGGAACCTGATGTGGGTCTTGATCCCAGGACCCTGGGATCATGCCCTGAACCCAAGGCAGCCGTTCAACTGGCTGAGCCACCCAGGCCCCCCAGTTTGCTCACATCTTATTGGCCAGAATTTTAGTTGCATGGTTAGAGGGATTTGCAAAGCATGCTGGGAAATGTAATCTCTGATTAGGTGGCTCTGTCTCCATCTACAACCTGATTTGGTTTTATTAAGCCAGGGAGGATGTATATTGATGCCAAGTCTCATAAAACACATCATGCTCGTGGATGGGTATCTTCTTTCTTTCTTTTTTTTTTTTTTTTTAAGATTTTATTTATTTATTTGACAGACAGAGATCACAAGTAGGCAGAGAGGCAGGCAGAGAGAGAGGGAGGAAGCAGGCTCCCTGGTGAGCAGAGAGCCTGATGCGGGACTCAATCCCAGGACCCTGGGATCATGACCTGAACCGAAGGCAGAGGCTTTAACCCACTGAGCCACCCAGGTGCCCCAGTATCTTTGTTCTTAAAGAAGCTAGAAATGGACCATGGAAGAGGCTGATTTCCTGCCCAGAGAGGTTTTCTGTTTCGTCGGTGTATTCAGAATTAAGTTGGCTCTGAGAGCCTGCTTCAACTTTAAACAGTCTGCCATACTGACCCCCCCACCAATACCCATTATTTAATTGACAATGGACAGAAAATGTTTGGGTCATTCATTCAGGCTGAGATTTTTCCTGGTTCAGAGGTGCTTAGAAGGTCACACGGCAGCTTAGGCTCACAGATCCTGAGCATCTGATGATCTGGGCCACATGCTGCGCTAGATTTCCTCCACGATGTCATATGATCGACAGACCCAATTCAGTGAGGTAAGGACCATCAAGGGCGTTTTACAGGTAAGGAAACCGAACAGCAGAAAACTTATGTAGCTGAGGTATGGCAAGGCAGGTGGTGGGATCCAAGTCTCTTAAATTCGAGAGCCAGTGCTTGTCCACCACACACTACTGCTTATGCGCCAGATTCAAGACATCCTCCGTCGTTTTCACTGGCTGTGCCTCTTTGTACAGATTTCCTCTGTGGCCTTTAACAGGATAGGCACGTTCTGTTACTGAAGGCCGTCTTTTCCAGGCTCTCTCCGATTCCCAGTATTTGTGGATCATGTCTTAGTCATTTTACAAAATTAAGGCTAGCACGGGGCCTGGTGTTTGTTACATGCTGAAACAAATGATGACGTAAGTAAAATCACCCTCCTTCTGCTACAGTTAAAACCAGATCCTTTGCTGAATGCCCACCCTCATCGTACTGATTTTCCCTTTTTTTTATTTTTTTATTTTTTTATTTTTTTATGTGACAGAGAGAGAGATCACAAGTAGGCAGAGAGGCAGGCAGAGAGAGAGGAGGAAGCAGGCCCCCCAGTGAGCAGAGAGCCCGCCCGATGTGGGGCTCGATCCCAGGACCCTGGGATCACGACCCGAGCCGAAGGCAGTGGCCCAACCCACTGAGCCACCCAGGCGCCCCTGATTTTCCCTTTTAATACTTAGCCCACACTCCCAATTTCCCCACATCAATATCTTATTCTAAGTCCTTGATTTGTAATTCTAGTGCCAGGGGCACTCAAAAATATTTCCAGTTGATTCCCAAACATACTTATTTCATTTACTGAAAAGGTCTCCCAGGGTTGAATTTTTGCTTCAACCTAACCTCAGTCCATCCTGATGACTTGTTAATTAGTATTTCCTTTTGTTTCATCTTCAGAAGCTATGGGGAAAACTATTTCCCACTTTGAGATTGTTATAAAAACGCGCCCTCAGGATTCCAGGGAAAGGGAATGATGCCAACTCCAGGCTGAGGTCATGATTTTGCTGAAGGAGACTCTGCCCGTCATCTCCGTGCTGATGTAAACTCCTGCAGAGATGCTGGACACAGGCCTGGGTGGGACTGGTCCCCTCCACACACTCCCTCCGCACCTCCTACCCCACCACAGCCCTGCAAAGGTAGGATCTGGAAATGAGAGGCGCCCTTTAAAAGTTCCTTCTGGGGCGCCTGGGTGGCTCAGTGGGTTAAAGCCTCTGCCTTCGGCTCGGGTCATGATCCCAGAGTCCTGGGATCGAGGGCCGCATCGGGCTCTCTGCTCAGCGGGGAGCCTGCATCCTCCTCTCTCTCTGCCTGCCTCTCTGCCTACTTGTGATCTCTCTCTCTGTCAAATAAATAAATAAAATCTTTAAAAAAAATAAATAAAAGTTCCTTCTGCAGTGGCACAAAGGTTGGGTGTGTGGGTAGGACAAACCAAATTGAATCAACAAACATTTCTAGATGCAGGGCTTTCTGCTAGACAGGATGGGGGCTGTAACAAGGACAGAGAGGTCCTGCTCTCAGTAATAAACTTACCCACTGAATCATTTGTTTAAGCACACAAGAAATACCAGTGAGCCTCATGTGAACTCACTTTCCTTATCTGAAGAGAGACTGAGTTGGATTCCTCCCATGAAGCCCTACCCGTCATGCAGATGGGGGTGTCTGTCCTTCCCTCTCCCAGGCATCATGCTAAACCAGCTACTACAAATGAAAAATTCATGTGAAGTTGCTTTAAAAATTCTATGCAAGTTTTGCATTCAATTCCAAGTATATATTCTAAGTGGTGGGGTGTGTGGTATATGTGTGTGTGTGTGTGGTTCTTCACTCAGGGGAGCCCTGGCAGAAAGGTTCATTCTTGGAGATACCCATTCCCTAAAAGGAGGAGCTCAAGACTGGATGACATCTGACATCCTTTCTAGATTCAAAATTCTTCTACGAGGAGTCAGAAATAAATAAATAATATCAGAGAAAGCTTAGGTAGATATATTTGAACCTAAGGGCATATTGATTCCGTTATTTTTTCTAAACTCCAACCAAATAAAATGCTTCTGCAGACGAGATTCACCCATCGACTGCTGGTTCTAAAGCAATAGGAGCCCAGGAGTCTCTATTTGCAGAACATCCCCCAGCGGACTCTTATCAGGCAATTGGAAACTCTGAGACAGGTATGTACGAATGACTCATAAACTGTGGAGTCTGGTACAAATATGAGCCATCATTCTGGGTAAGGATATTAATCTTTGCTGTCTTTGCCACACAGGAGGGTTTAAATGAGATAATGTGGATTGTTTTGTAACATCAGGAACTAAGGTAATCAGAATGGGAGATGCGGGAGGTCTGCAAGTCTCTCTCCTCTTGATCCTCATCACAGTGGGCCAGGTGTAGAGAAGTTCTAGAATCTCTACAGCCCCGGCGGGAGGCATGGCTTGCCCAGAGCCGATCCTGGGCATTTCTTGCCTCTTCCTCCCTGGAGCTTAGATGCAGAATGTGAGCTGTTCTGATATAGACCCCAAGGGTCTCTCTCTTCCTTCACTTACTCATTCTATGGCCCCTTCAATCAAAAGAGAGATCTGACAAAGTCAAATCTTAAAAAGAGGGGCTGCCCTTGCTGCACCCCTAGGTCTTTGCTGGCCCCAGCCCAGACCCCCCAGAGTCCCATGATGGTGTGGTTTTGTTTGTTTGTTTGTTTGTTTAAACAAGGACAGTGCTTTCTAAGAGACCCCACTTCCTGAGCTTCTCTGATTTGCTTCCCTCTATCAAAATGTATTGGTCCAGGGATCTGTTCTTTTAGAGCCCTAGGTTGGCAAATTAATATTATAAATGATACTTAAGGAGGTAGATGAAGAGCTTCATGAAAACACATTCAGGTTTTATTTATGTCTCTGCTTATGCCTCTGGTTTCTGGGTTGCTTGTGCGGGGTTGCTATGGAACTCAGTTAAAGCTAAATATGAACAGGGTTTTCCAACATACTGGCATTTCAGTAGCTCCCTTTATTCATTCAACAATGTTTGAGTGCTTACTGTGTGCAGGGCATATCCTAAGAAGCAAATGAAAGGGGCATTACAAGGCAGTAGCTTTCAAACTTTAGTGAACTTTGGTATCACTTGGAAGACTTGTTAAAACACGAAGTTCAGAATCCTAGATCTTGATTCGGGAGATCTGGTTGGGCCCTGAGAATGCGCGTTTCTTACAAGTTTCCAGGTAGGGCTGGGGTTGCTGGTCTGGGGACCACACTTTTGAGAACCACGGGTTTAGGGCATGGCAGGAACCAAGTCCGTCACAGGGCGCACACTCAGTTTGGTTGTACCAAGGAGACTAACGGTGGAGATTGAGGTCGTCTTGGCAGGTCCGTGGGGGACACACCGGGAGGCACAGAAGCCCCTTAAGATGCTGTCCGTGCCTGCCACCCCGCCAGGCCTCTGCACACTGATAAGTCAGAGGTGGGGCGCCCTCCCCTCTCTCCTCTCGGTGGCCGTGTGGAGCGGAGCGGGTAGGAGGAGCGAACCGCGGGCGGCCCCGGAGGCGCCGGGGGTCGGACGCATCTCTGCGGGACCGGCGGTGCGCGGGGACCGCGGAGGAAGTCGCCCTCCCCCGCCGCGGCCCCGCCCGCTTTGGCGCGCGACTGGCGGCTGGCCGCCCGGGCGGTGGCAGCGGTGGCGGCGGCGGCGCGGGGCGGGGCGCCGCGACCCCCGCCCCCTCGTCGCAGTCGCTGCCGCCCGGCTGGCTGGGCCTCGGGGCGCGGGCAGCCGCGGCGCCGCATTCCCGGCCGGCCCCGAGCCATGGCCCAGGCCGGCGAGGAGGCGCTGCCCGGGCCCGAGACCGCGGTGCAAATCCGCGTCGCCATCCAGGAGGCCGAAGACGTGGAGGAGCCGGAGGACGACGAGGAGGGGGCGGAGGCGCGCAGCGCGGGGGACCCGGCCCGGTACCTGAGCCCCGGCTGGGGCAGCGCCAGCGAGGAGGAGCCGAGCCGCGGGCACAGGTAGGCACAGCCCCGCGGCCCGGCCGAGGGGAGCCCGCCCCGGGTCCCGGCCGAGCAGGAGCGCGGGGACAACTCCACGGGCGGAGCCGCTGCTCCGGGTGTCCCAGCGAGCGCAGGACCTGCTTTCGGCGGTGGCTGGTGTCGCCCGCGCGGAGCTCCCGGGGCTGGCGGCGGGACTCTGAGGGGCCTGGACGGGGACATGCCCTGGGACCCGGGAGGAATTCCTTCCTGGGCCATCCTGGCCATCCTCTTCCCCCCGGAGGAGTCTCTCCCGGCGCGCGCTCCCCCGGGACCTTCCCCAAAGCCGATTCCGGCCGGGTCCTCCGCTCCGAGACCGGCCCACCTCCCCCTGAGACGGGCCCCACCGAGCCTTCACTGCCTCCTTCCTCCTGTCCCCTTGTCAGCCCAAATGGGTGGGGGCAGCCCAGGCCCAGCTGACACTTGCTGCTGGGGGATCCGAGGAGCGATTTCGTGGTACGGAGAGCTCTCCTGCTCTGATTTGGAATCAGCTCAAGTCTTGCTGCTTGCATCCTCGCGGGCCGGGGATTCCCATTTTCACGCAGCCTCCCCCACCTGACTTCTAAGCTTGCATCATCATCTTGCTGCCTTGCTAGTTGGGTTCCTGAGTGATGGTCAGTGTGGAGCTCTTAGGGTACAGGAAGCCACCTGTCTAACCGTGCCTTTGGGCCCTGAGCCTGTCATCAGCCGGAGACCTTGGACTTGTGTCCACCAACGCCAGCACTTTTGGGGTCTGTGGTTTCGTTCCTGTGGTTGAAAGGAGATAAGAGTATGGAGTATCCCTAGCCCGCAGAGTAGAGCAATGGCAGAACTTGCGAATTCCGAGAAGTGCCCACAGGAACTTCCTATGAACCCTCTTTCTTCAGGGTTTCAGGGCACATGCTTTCAGTTGTCAGGGCTCTGCAGGGTCATTCCCTGGCAGGCGGATGTTTAATTCATTGGCAGAATGCTCAACTGAAGGGCGTGAGGATACTGGGATGGGAGCCATTCCCGATCCTTGGCTGACCCTTCCCCAATGGAAGAGGTCTGGAGGTAGGTACCCAGAGATTCGGGACAGCTCAGTGAAGACAGAGGAATCCAAGGAGGAAAGTCCAGCCCCAGAGTTGAAAGCAGAAACACTGGACCATGAGCAGATGATACAGAAGCTACAGTAGATCCGTCAGTCAGCCCTCTATACACTGTAAAACCTGATTCATTCACTCACGCATTGGTTCAGCTCCGTGCTGTGAATAAAAATAATCGGTCCGTAGTTACTGACATCTCAATCTCCAGGAGAAGGCGGCCATCTAGACAAAAAATTTCAGAGGTTATGTAAAGGAGCTCAGAGTGCCTGATGTTTCTGATTTCATTTGCCTTTGACTATGGCGAAGAGCTCCCCCCTATACTGGGACTAAGTTTTGGGATCGCACCATTAGCAGGCATTAAAGCCCTACTTATTTCTTGGGCCTGGAAAGAGCCCCCTGTGGAGAGTAGGAGAACATGATCCTCATTTGGGTGGGCTTCTTGCCCCCACCCCCCACACTCTCTCTCCAGAGCCACCCTTCCTTCCCAACTCGAGGGACTGGAGTTTCATGGAGCTTTCGAGTTGAAGCATTTCCTGCTGCCCACTGGCAGAAAGCTGACCCCAGAAAATCCCTGGAAGCTCTTCTGGGTAGTGGAGCTGACAGAGCCCAGCAGGCAGACATCCAGAGCCGGAGAATGCAGCCGAGGACAGGATCCATGCTGTCCCCTGGGGCCATTTCTCAGTTTCCAGAGCCTTCAGGAGAAAGCCTAAGTTCCTGTGTGTTGAGATGTGGCACCTACCCACCTCATCCCCTTGGCCCATGGCTCCTTTCTTGGCTGTCTCAGTAATTCGTGCTCCCCCAGCACTAACCCCCTAGATTCCAGAAAATAGGGTACAGTTTTGTGTCTGCACACCTTTGCCCTCCCTCTTCAGGGTCTCTCTGATTGCCTGATCGATCTCTAGTCAGCCTTAAAACTTCACTGCGCCTACTAGGTATTTCTCCAAAGGATACAAACCTAGTGATTCGAAGGGGCACGTGCACTCCAATGTTTATAACTGTAGTGTCCACTATAGCCAAACTACGGCAAGAGCCCAGATGTCTGTTGACAGAAGATTGGATAAGGAAGATGTGGTGTGTATATATGCAGTGGCATATTACTCAGCCATCAGAAAGAATGAAATTTTGACACTTGCAATGATGTGGATGGAACGAGAGGATATTATGCTCAGTGAAATCGGTCAGTCATACAAAGACAAATACCCTATGATTCCAGTCCTAGGTGGAATTTAAGAAACAAAACCTATGAACATGGGGAAGGGAAGGAAAAATAAAATAAGATGAAAATTGAGAGGGAGACAAACCATTAGAGATTCTGAACTCTAGGAGACAAATGGAGGGTTGCTGGAGGGGAGGTGGTGGGGGATGGGGGAACTGGGTGCCGGCTGAGCTGGCACATGATGGAATGAGCACTGGGTGTTCTATGCACCTGATAAATCATTAAATTCTACCCCTGAAACTAAAACAACAAAAACACTTCACTGCTTTGTCTCCCCAAACCCCAGTTCCCACCCCAAAGCTGTTTGTTTCCCGTCCTCAGAGTTGCCTTAGTACTCTGCACGTTTTATACCCAGCATTAACCTCGGCTGTAATCGTGTAGTTCTGTCTCCCTCACAAGAATGTGAGCATCATGAATTTGGGGGCCATGCTTGCCTTGTTTTCATTGTATCCCCAGCACCTGGTATAGAGTGGGTGCTCCTGAGTATTTGTTGAACGAATGCATGTCTCTGTCATTGCATCATGCCATTGGGTTGAAGTATTTGCGTAGTTTTCACCCAACAAGATAGTGAGATCCTTGAAGCCCGTGACCTCACCTTGGTCCTCGCTCTACCACCAGTACTCAGCCCACTACTTGGCCTTACCCTGGGGTCCCAGCAACACGTGGAAATAAGAAAAATGTTCTTTAGTCTTCTCCCCAGACCTCTCTCACCAAAAAGGTGCCTTTCTTTTTATTCTCACCTTTTCGAAATAAAAATTTCAAACATAAAATGTGGAAGGGTAGTATTGTGAGCATTGGTACATCTACCGTCTGGATTTAACAGTTGTTAGTATTTTGCCCTATTTGTTTGATAGACTTATGGGCGGTTTTCTCTGAACCAACTGAAAATACACACAAGACTTACTGTACCCTCAGCACCTTGAGAGCTCTTACTAATGACCGCTTCCTGTAAAACCATATACTATTATTGCAATTAAGAGAATTAACAACGATTCCTTAGTTTAATCCCTAAAATGATCTTGTAGCCAAGCTCCATATTTCGGTCTCCCCCACCCCAAGCATCCCACATTGTATTTTATACATGTTTCTTTCTCCCCCTCCAACCAGAATCCAGTCCAGGTGGTGCCATTTGCCTGTTATGTCTCTTCAGAATCTTTTAATCTAGAACATTCACACTTTTTTTTTTCTTTAAATGCATTGCTATTTTGAAAGAAGAGGCCAGATGTCTTGTTGAATGTTTCCCGGTTGGAATTGGTCTGATTTTGTTCTGACCGTCTAGCTTAACTTGCTCCTTTGTACCCCGTGTTTCCTGTCAATCGGAAGGTAGACTAAGGGCTTGATTCAATTCGGATTCAACATTTTGGCAAGAACACCTCATAGGCAATGCCACAGACTTTTTGCTGCATCACCGCAGGTGGCTTTCACCAAAGTGATGCTCTAATTTGACCACTTGACTAAGATGATCTCGCCATTGTGAAGGTATGTCTCTCCCCTTGCAATTAACAAGTAATACATGGGTGTCCTGTGAATATTCTTTCACTGAGGCCCTTTACCTAACGGTTTTAGCATCCACGGGCGATCCTTGCCTGAGTCAGTTCTTTGGGAATTACAGATTGGTGATTTTCTAATTTTATTATCCTTTGTACATTGATTAGCTGGCATTCTTCTGTGTAAGAGAGCTTTGCCTCATTATCTGGGTCTGAACAAGAATCCCTTCTAAGGAGGCAACATAAATGCTTAATGACCAGTTTTCAAAGAGAGGAGTGGGTGTAATCGTCACATCAAATAATTTAAATTAGAGCCCTCCTTTGGCCCTCCTCGATTCATGGACCTTTGTTATTCACTTTTTAAAAATTGGTTACAATCATTATTTTTGATGTTTACAATGTCCCTGATTCAGTAGTGAAAGCCTTTCAGATTGGCTTCAGTATAGCCTTTCAGAACATGCCCTTGAGTCTTTTGAGCACTTTCTTGCTTTGTGATGCTAGATATTCTGGGCTTACTTTGTACTTTTCCTACCTGGGTCATGGGATCCAGCCATTTCCACAGGAATCCCTGTGGCTAGTATTTTTCAAATACTAGCGGAAAGGTATTTAGAAACCAAGACCTTAGAATTAAGAGTGCTAATTTCCACTGGGGCAACATTGGTTTTAGGCCCTTTCAATAGTGCTAGGAAATACATTAAAAAAATAAGTTTATATTGATGATTCTAATTCATATTTGACATTATAGGGTTTTTGTTTTACTTCTTTTATTTTTTTGCACTGACAGTCTTGATTCTTAACAGCATTAACATATTTACTCATTTTGTCTTACAATGTGTAAAAATGACTTAAAACTATAATACTAAATATCAGCATGAGTAATAAAATCACGGAAGCATACCTTCATTTAACAAACAGAAACATCTAGGTTCCTTTCTCCCCATGATGTTTCAGGGACATTGCATAAGCTATCTTTTCTCTGTTCTGGGTGACCATAGTGAAAGGCTCTGTTTATTAATGCCAGTTATGTACTGGATGAGGAACTAAGGACTTTGCATACATTATCTGTGCTTTACACCACAAACCATTATTTAGACCTGCAGAGACACCCACTGCTTTTGCTCCTTTCCCAGGCCCTAGAAATTATGCCAGAATAGCATGTTAGAACAGCAGGTAAGATAAGAGCGTCATGATGTCTGTAATAAGTCTATAAGAACC